GGCTTCTCCCCCTCTCTTCCCCGCCTCCTGCCCTCCTGGCTCCGTACCCATGGCGGCCTTCGAGCAGATGCGGGCAAGCGTGGGGAAGCTGCTGAAAGGCATCGACAGGTACTGCCCGAAGGGGCCCTGGGCCGGCTCGTCGCCGAAGCCCTTGGCGAGGAGCCGCAGGAAGCTCCTGTGGGAGGCGGCGCTCTGCTCATGCTCAGGAACACCGCGTCGTCGCTGGGCCGGCGGCATTTCTGCATCTCCCACCTCTCCGTGCATCTCAGAGGAAGGGATTTAGGGAGGAGAAACGGGGTGGGGCGGAGGGCGTTAGGAAGGAGGCTACTCCCCTATATATTTTTTTATTATTATTATTATTATTAGATTTTTTAAAATCAAGCTGCATTTGCCCGGAGGGTTCTGCTTTTCGCCACTGCTTGCCTTCAGGCGGTTGGGGCGCAGCCGCTTTATCAGCCCCGGCAGGGGCGCTGGGGTCCCACCAGGAGACCCGCGGAGAGCTGGGGGTGCGAGGAGGAGGGAGCTGGGCGGGAGCTGGTGCCCCACTTTGCCAGCCAGGCTCTGGTCTCCCTTCCTTACGTTTCGTCTCCGAGCGCATCAGCGCAGCATCTCTGAGCTCCGCTTCTTCCCTCGCTGCTCCTCAAACGTCCTCCTTGCCGCCGACGGACGAGGGAGGCCAGGCCCAGACAGGAGACGGGTGCCAGGAAGGTCCAGAAGCAGGGCGGGGAGCTGGAGCTTCTCCTTCTCAGGGGGCTGGAAGGCCGGGGCACCGCCCGTCACCGGTCATCTCTGCCTGGCCGGTTCGGTCCAGCGGGACGGTTGCGCTCTGGGTCCCGTCAGTCCAGCAACGTCCTCTTGCGGGACCCGGGAAAGGGCTTGCCCTGTTGCAGTTCCTGCCCTCTGGAATGATTCCTCCCCCAGATCCATGTGGCTCCCCCCTGATGGCGTTCAGGGAGCTATTGTAGACTTGGTTGTTTGCCAGACCTGGGGACCGGGAGATTGTGGAGCCCCCGTTTCGTTCTTCTGCTTGTTTCGTTTTGGTTGCTTTGCTCTTCCAGTCTGTTGTATTTGTGTGTGTGTGTGTGTGTGTTGACTTTCTTGTGGGAAGCTGGCAGGGAAGGTCGTAAATGGCAATCGCGTGACTGTGGGACACCGCAACTGTCATAAGTGCAAGCCGGTAGCCAGGCACCCAGATCGGAACTTCGAGGACTGGTTATAACTACCTCTCATTCAGTGCCATCATAACTTTAAACGGTTGCCGAATGAGTGGTCGTTAACCAAGGACTACCTACACATATAATATGCTATATGACCATAATACAGATTTTGTATACGTGTGTGCGTGTATACACACACACGCATACACACATTGGTTCTTAGTTGTAAGCCACTCAGAGTCATATGAGAGTCAGATGGTCAAGAAATTAAATGAATACAGTGGTACCTCGGGGTTACGAACTTGCCTCTACTTATGAACCGGATCCGCGGCCATTTTCCCTGCTGCCACACAGTCGCGGCTGCCTGTGGGCGAGGTCGCGGTAGCAAGGAGACGTTCGGTGAGGCTTGTGGTGTGTTTTGCGGTGT